CCCTATTCAAATGAATGGCTTGTGCTCAGTAGCGCATGGGACTTCACGGGCGCTGACAAATCAGAGGAACTTGGTCCCGCAGTGGACGAGCTCCTATGATGCGTTGCGCCAAATACGCTTGTGTGGCTCTCATGCACGTGCACAGAGGGGCTCGGCCGCGCTCTGACCAATCAGAGCTGCTGATCAGAGCAGCAGCAGAGTGGAGCCAGAGCGGGAAGGAAAGGAGCAGAGTTTGTGGCAGTAAAGTGTAGATTTAAAGAAAACCGAAGGATTTAAGAAAAAAAAAAAGTTCAGGATGACAAGGGACACCAAAATCCCCACAAAATCTGATCTTTATGAAAGCTGTAGGTTCTCTGTCAGCTGAGGTCGAGCTGTTTTAATTTACATTGAGTTCTATGGGACTTTTTTCTGGGTAGCCTACGTGAATTTAGTCTGCAGTACCACGGGCGCCCCCTGTGCCCATGGGTGGGACAGCTATAAGCTAGCAATAGCCTATCCAGATTTTATTATAGATCCATGGGGTGGTCCTCTGTTTTTCACTTTACTGTCTGAAAAAGCTCATATGAAAAGACCAAAACTATATACCTGTGAAAACTGGTGATATATTGATTTTATATCATTGTTGTGGATTGAAATGTAGGGGTTTTAGAGCCATTTTTAGCCACAAGAAAAATCACTGAACCATAAAAAGCATGACCACAATTTATCTCAGTAGTACATCCGCACACAATCCAAAATGACTCTTTTTGCTGACATGAATAGTAAGAGTGTCCTGGAAGCGTGGCCCTGCTGTTAAAGCTAATATGACTCAATCTCTCTCATATTATAATACATTGTGGATTAAAAAGCCCAGAAAAGGAGCCATAATTGTGAAGTCCATCATTACGTTCTCACACATTCTGCCACGTCCTAAGTTTGGAGAAAGCATTGTGCAAGGTCACCAGACACTGTCCCTGCACCCAAATTACCTGCGCGTCTCTGGGACTATTGCCGGCCCGGTCCCCTCATTTCACCAGCCATTACTGTCCGCTTTTATTGTTGATGCTTGGATCTTTTCAAATTAGTGATCAGATTTGTATGCTAATGTGGGGGGCAGAGAGGAGATACAGTAAGTGAATGAGATGACTTTGGCGTTTGAATTGGCTCAAGCTGTAGTGATGATGAGGATAATTCTGAAACATCTTTAATGCTACAGAGGGGATTTATTTCAATTTCTTAGCGGTTTTTGGGGTGAGTTTCATGCCAGTGAACAGGGAAAGAACATACAGACTGCATGTCATAATAGACACTTTCCACTTTATTGAACTAAAAATCAAGCATAATGTTGTCAATAAGGATTTTCATATGACATACAGTTTGTTATGATTCAGAGAAAAAATATCATGATAATATATCATGACTACATATTTAAATATTAAAACTACTTATGATTCTTCATATATGTACATCTAATATGAAGTGAGAGTATAGTTTTTGTCTTTAGGCTGAGCAAAAATTATGTAATTGTTCCTTGTATGATTTGTCGTTGTAAGGTTTTAAAGTCTTTTATGTCTATGTTACCTTGGAACTTAGCATTTATTCTAAGGCCGCCGCCACATTTACACTGACGCTTAAGGCATCAATGTTGATGAATGTGTAATGTCCCTACTCCATCCATCCATCCATTTTCTTCCCCTTAATCCATTTATACGTCGAGGAGGTGGCAGTCAGAGCAGCACCAGCCCCTCACTGATCCTCCTGCAGGTGGTGAGTCCACAGGAGCCTTGATCTTTCAGCGGGGGCATCAGGCAAAGTGGGTTGCCCAAGGACACAACAACAGCAGACATCAGTGGGAATCGGTGGAGAAAGTCTCATGGGGGGCTCGAACCCAGGACCTTCAGGTTCAAAGACCAGTGCTCTACCAACTGAGCCACTGAGTTGAGTTGTGTGTGAATAAAATGTTGTGGAGGGACTTCCAGCTGTATTTGTCCCTACAGTCTGTGTATTCCATATTGAAAAATCTTCCAGCCCTACTTTGATTACTTAGTAAAATCATCACCAATGCTGTAATGATACAGATATTAAAGGTATAGAGTGTGAACTATGTCTTAAGTTTTCGAGACCGGAGTCTGCTATACTGCTTCTTCATGTTTTCTTGCAACTTTGTGATAAATTGGATTTCTTCTCTCCCCTGAAAATGGGAACAGGCGACTACTATCTTGTCAAAGCCGACTTATCAAAGTAAAAAAAATAAAATGTCAAGTACAATTTAGGGAAGAGAAATGGAGGTCCCTGTGTTCCTTGTGCAGTTTTACTCCTGCCTCTTTGTGAGGGCGGGAGGGAGGGGCGGAGGCTGTAGGGTCCTCAAGAGCTAAGGACTCTCAACCTCATTGTTGGGAAGAGCAGTGATTAATGGTAGTTAGTTAGACTGGGGGTATTGTCCTTTTCATAGTGGGAAAAGATAACGGACAATCTGATTACGAACCTGATTTAAGTGTATTTATTGTATTTCAATAAAATAAAAAAGTCCAGTTAACATCAACGTGTGAATACAATTATTGACACAATTGATTTTTATCTTTATGTTTTTTCATTACTTTATTTCTTTGGGATTTTTACAAAGAAACAAACGCCAAAGATCAAATATTTATTTTACCTATGGTTTATGTTTTGGGTGATGGGGCTATAACCTTTATATTTTTCCTTTATTTCTTTGGCGTTTGGACACTTTACTTTGGTCAAAAGTATCTTTTTCCTATGGTTCATGTTTTTGGTGTAGGGTGAACCGGAGCGTCCGGAGGGAACTCATTAAAAAACTGGAGAAACGTACACATCATACAGTATGCCAGCCACACACACAGCAACACAGAGAGTGCTAAACAATTGTTACAGGAAAAAAAAAGAATGCTATTTTCACATGTTCAAAGCTCAATGTTCATTTTGACACAGATCTTATCTATATGTGTTTGATGTTTGAAAAATTAACAAAAAATAATCTTTGCTCTTTTTTTTAATGCAATGGGATGTATTTTTGTTTTAATGCTTTTAGTTTTTATTTCTTTTTTATTTATTTATTTATTTAATTTTTTGTAATGTTTATGTAGATTTTAAAGTAGCAGTATGTAATATTTGCATATCAAGTCATCATTAAATGGCCCCATATTTCAAAAGGCGTTATTAAATCATGCTCTTTTCGAATTCATCTTTAACTGATAACAGTAGTTCAGCCGAGATATTTGATTATCAAAATTAGTTTTACGACCCGTAAAAGTTGTTATTGTTTTCATCTTGGCGGCCTGCCCTCCGCCGCTTCGCGAATCAGGAAGTGTCATGGAAGTCCGTGATCGGTTTGTCAGAACTCCGCACGGCTAGTTAATCTCACTGGTTAAATAACTTGTTACGGCAGAACTAAAAAAGATCTTGTTATGACTCTCAAATAATTAATGACAAAACAAAGACTAAAACGAGGATTTATATCGGGACGCCTTTGAACAATTGAGACAGCTGATAAAACTTTTTGTGTGATGCAAAACTTGCGCTTTGAGCCCATTCTGCATCCAGTGGATTGTGGCTAGGCCGTTGCACTTGCACTCCGGTGGCTCGAGTTCGAGTCCGAGCACAGCCCGTTCAATTTCAATTTCACATATATTGACAGATTGCTCAAAAAACGGCCAAAAACTAAGATCTAGATGTTTTTAGCAGATTATAGCTTGATTGCAAAACAAATAATTTGAGACCAATCATTTGAGACCACCCCAATTAAAATAATGTTTGTCTCGTTTTGATGTGGGACTAAAAAATAGGGAATGAATTAAATTGAAGGGTGATATCCTCTGGAGGAAACCCTGATGTTGATGAAATATGTTCCAACATCCATTCTTCCCACTCCTATTTTGGACATCAATTGCTTATTTATTTTGCATAATCTATGTATAATTACATAGGTTTTTTTTTTTTTTATGTCCAAATAATAATAATAAAAAAACATTAATCAAAACATTTATTAAACATTAGCACGGCTATCATGGCAATGTGAGAGAAAGACAAACAACTGATAAAATAATTCCCTGTGTTTGCTGCTGGATTTGGTGTGTATCTGGCAACCTGAGTCAGGGAGAGTGGGAGAGGACTACAAAATATTGACTGTGACTGCAGTACTACTTATGGCCAGATTTTTACATATTGCTCCTTTAATGTTTTAATAATGTATGCTTGATGTGATACGGGTCGTGAGGTGCTTTGTGTCGGACCACAATGTGCCCAGTTACATATACAAAAAAAGAAAATTATCATTTTCATCTGATCATTTAACCCTAACCCAGAGTAGGGACTAGGGATGCACCGATACCTATACTGGTATTGGGTATCGGGACGATATCATAAGCTTGTACTTGTACACCGATACCCACATTTTTAATTTACATTAGTGTCACAATAGCAGACATCTGTGCGGCAAGTGTTGTCATGGTGATCTCCTAAAGCTATCGGCAAGCAGGCTAGCGCCGAGCGGACAAGATGTCGGCCGTGTGGCAGCGAGTAAACGAGAGTGACAAGATTAACGCGTAATGTACGTTGTGTAAGGCAAAACTGTGTCGAGGTGGGTCCAAAACAAACACATATAACACCAGCAACTTGATAAAACTCCCCACCACCGCAGAGCAACCTTTGCAAGCTCTTGCTATGTACCATTTGTATGAGTGGAATATGACAGTGGCTCTTATTGTTGACAGTTAAAACCATTGCTGACATGTTTAATTGTTAAAGCATTTTCTTATTGTTGAAAAGAGAAATCAAAAAATTAAATTTCAGTTTTATGAATTCCAGGGGAAACACAATGCAGTACTCGTAACGGTACTCTGCATCGGCCACTTTGCGAGTACTCAAGTTAAGGTACTCACACTCGTAACGGTTTTGAAAAAAGTAGTATTGGTGCATCCCTACAGTAAACCATTTACAATGCATAGCTTTACCTCTTTGAACGTTCTTCCCTGACAGCCCACACCCCTCCCATCTCCTTCCACTCAGCCGTCCACTTCGCTGGCATCTCCCCGGGTGACGAGAGGGGTCAGGGCCGGGTCCATCTGTCCAACCGATGACCATCCGTGCCAAACTCTACAGGGACCACACAGACTCACCAAACATGGTCACCTGGGAGTGGAGAGATGTGAAGGCCGAATAGGGTTTAATCTACAGGAGCGGCGGTCTCTATGGTCTCCTCTTATATTAGAAAGGCCGAGCGGGACCTCAGGGAACAGTTGGCGAGTCACTGGGCTGGACGCCGATGGGAATCTAAGAGAAATAAAGAAAAATGAATATTAACGAAGTGGTTACAATCCATCCACCCAAAGCGCTTTACAATGTTCAGAGTTCAGATATTGTTTAATTCTCTCCACACGGTGATGACGGAAGCGAGACGCCAAAGACACTGGTGCATCAAAGCCTCCGATCAACACCATCCATTCACTCACTCACTCGTTACATTCATAACTATTGTGCATGTTGTTAGAGGTAGAAGAAACCGTAGCACCCAGAGAAAACAACGCAGACAAGGGAAGAACATGCAAACTCCACTCAGAAACGCCCTGTTCCGACCTTCTTGCTGAGAAGCGAGAGTGCTGTCCAAGGTCCTACGTTTCTGTATGCATGTTCTCCCTGTGTCTGCGTAGGTTTCCTCCAGGTGCTCCGAGTTTTTGCTACCATTAAAAACGTGTACATAGTTCCGGCATGTGCTTCCTGTTGCTGTGAGGAGTGAGAGGACAAAATCGCCACAATTTGTGAAGCACTTTGTGACTGTTCATGAAAGACGCAATAAACAAAGCTGACTTATTTAAAACTGAATTTGATCTGAGTTTATATTTGAGGATTTGTCACAGAAATCAGCAAGTATCTCTTGTCTTGTTGTCGGACAAGAAAAAAACTGTAAATAAACTGTGCTGTACAACTATGTGTCTTTGTGAGATTTTGTGATTCAAGTGTGTAATATTTGCAGTAATCTGTTATTTCTACTAGAAAAAGTGTTGCACTGTAGGTTAGAAATATGGGCGGATTGTGTAATTGGTATTTTTTGTGTATTGCTGCATGTGTACACTTCTTCAAATGTTGATATTTTTATAGTTTTTTGTTTTTATTGTGAACAAAATCGCAATGTTAGTCAGAAATATTGCTACTAGATGATATTTGTTTCCCCAAGCCTTACATAGACACATTGACAAAAAGACACAGTAGGATTCCAATCAAACATAATTTTTCCGACAGTTTACTTCAACATCTAAAACAGTCTGGAAACTTCATGAATATTACAATCCAAAGTTATATTTCTGTATCATTACAAGTCTAGTGCTCAGGGATAGACCCAGACTGTACACACAGCTGTGCTACTGCCCTGGATTCCAACATCTCCTCATATTGCGCAACCTTATTTAGACTACACCAAAAAGTCTGGTAAATAATCACACCAGAACATCATAAACACAGCAGACACACAGATGGAGGAGCTCGGTATGTTTTCTTTGGCAGCCTATTTTACAGTGATTCAACGATTCCTTTTTTATCCATATTTTGGACAAAAGACAGAAAGACAGCAGCGCAGTGCTATATCCAAAGTATGATACATTATAGACTTCTGCTGAAGGGACACACATTTACAATAACTGGGAACATTAAACACTTCAACACTTTCAAATGATACTAAAATTGTGCCGTGTCATGTATACTGTATAATTCCAGTTATGTAAGTATTATTCAAAGTATCATGACTTATGGTTGTGTACAATTTCAGCCATCTCTTTCAGTTTTATACATATTTAATGTTGATTATGTGTTATTTCCACTGACAATAATACTAGTACTATATAAGCACAATGTAGTATTATTATGATTATTATGATTATTATTACTACTATTATTATTATTATTATTATATACATTTTATATACATTTCATTCCTGCTGTTCATTTCTTCCGTTCAAGAAAATCTAATGCTTTACAAGAATGATCCTGCTTTGAAATTGGGATTTTATCAGCAACATTCAAAGATACCTTCAATATCTGAACTGCTGAGCCTGTAAATTTCATTCATCTGTAATTAAGTAAATTCTTAAATCATGTGCAATGTGCAATACTGCAACTTTAGAATGTCACAGAACAATGTCACTTTACCTCATGTCACTTTACTTATATACTTATTATCCTGCACTATTTAACTGTACAGTATATAACTGCACTACTACATATATATTTTTTGACTGGTATTGAAGCTTTTTCAGCATCTACAGCTAGTTATGTTAGCTAAGAAACATAGCTACTACTTATTTGTATATAGTGTATATATTGTGTGTGATCCCTGTGTGCTCTTACTACTGTCCTATATGTGCGATGCAACATCAAAATTTCCCCACTGCGGGACGAATAAAGGAATTCTTATCTTATATTATTGTTTTTCAAAAATATTACAAACTAAAACTTTCATCAAAATACATTTTGTTACACATCATTATGGTTTGGACCCAAAGGAAAGTGGTGACGATACAGGACACTCAACTCAACATTTAAGGACATTTATCAACATTTATGGTCACCTGTCCCTTATTGACCAATGGACCAACCTTTTTATAAAGTCCTCCATAACTACTTTTGTGATTTAGGGCTATACAAGAATACATTGAATTTAATTGAATCCTAAATATTCTTTAATCAACTGACCTCACAAAATCTCATGAGCATAATAATCGGGAAAAAAAAGCTGATACAAGGAAATAAAATGGTTGTAGATGGTCCTTGATTGTCCGTTACTGCTGTGCACCTGCCCTGGGGGTTAGGAGGTGGTCATGGACATCTACTCTATCATACGCCTGTCTTAAGCTTAATGATCATAGAAATGAATGAGTGGGCTGTCTCGCTGTCAGCCCATCTGTCTTGGTCACTCCCAGTGGGCATGACAACCTCTACTGTAATAGAATTCTGCAATTATAGATTTAAAAAAAAGAGGAAACATCTATCCTCGTTCCTAAAAGTATTTACAACATGGCTCAAGAGGTTAAAAAGATTTGTGTATCCAATGAATTCATTCAATTCAAGTTTAGTTTATTTCTGTCTGCTCCCATGTGAACGCAATGCAACTGGATATGTTAGAGTACAAATGTAAAATCTGACTTTATAATTTTAATCTGAACAGCAACGATTGTCCGAATAAAAGTAGCACCTCAAACATTCTGAAATTCTAGAACAGTTTGTAGAAATGACTGGATGTATTGTGTTTGGTATGCTGAAGTTGAAACTAAACTCCCTGTGGAGACATTTAAGATTCTGACCCACACAAGGCTTCCATGACACCGCACCTATACCAGGTCACATGCACACGCACACGCACACACACACACACACACACACACATGTACGCATAGACATACGCAGGACATGCGCAAACAATGACACATATAGCTCACGCACAGAGGTACACACACATACAGGCAGAGCAGCATACGCACACACACACACAATCACATATACAACACAGTACACGCACACACACACTGACCCACACAAGGCATCCATGACACCTCACCTATACCATTATCACATACACACGCAATCACACATACAGCACAGCACACACACACAGACACAGAAAGAACAGTACAGCACACACGCATACAGGCACGCACACACACAGAACAACACAGCACAAGCAGAGGCAAACACACACACACACACACACACACACGCACACACACAGACAGACACAGACAGAACAGCACAGCAAACATGCATATAGGCACGCACACACACACAGAACAACACAGCACAAGCACAGGCGAACACACACATGCACACACACACACACACACACACACACACACGCACACACACAGCCCAGCACCACAGAGAGCCGGGCCATAAATTGCTTTGCTTTGGCCACTGCTCTTTCATGAGGCGTGGACTTGGGGCGCTTTTATAACAAGCTCTATCACATGTTGTTTTCAGCTTCAGTTGTTTTAAAGTCAAAGGCTTTTTAAGTACTGCTGCTCCAGTGCAAGTGACAGCTCGACTCGTAGACAGCACTCTATAGCTGGACGTTTATTTTGTTTTTTCACTCTATCTGCAGAAAAGAAATATAGCTATACTGCATGGAAAAAGTGGTATTTGTGACGTATATGATAAACCGACATTGAAGATAAATGGGTGGATAGATACTTTCGTGATTCCCGTAGAAGAGATTCAGGTGTCCAGCCGCAGAAAACACATCCGTAAAAACACATACGTACATACAATATAAACGTTTCGAACTTACTAACATAGAGTCAAGAGTCAGCTATCCCTATATTGTAATTGTTTACCATTTTTCAATGTACATTTTAAAGGTTTTCATCGTCAAAAAATGCTGTGACAGTTCAATGAGGCGTAAAAAAAAGAATAAACACATGGATTCAAAAAACGTGTGTAAATTATGATCATATCATTTTCGATCAAAAATGTGTATCGCAGACAAAGCCAAATGTGTGAAAGATGGTCATATACTGTGATAAAGTAGACAATTTAGATTCTGAGATCATGCTTTTGCCTGTCTATGAAACTTTTCTTTCACTGTCTCATCGTGTAAACCTTAATAAAAGACATAATATGAGGTGTTTGGTTTAGACTGACTGATAACATCCGTAAATCCATCTGAATATTCACGTGAGATGGATTATTGCCATCAGTACCGTCGAGTGTTTATGTAGCGTTGAATAAATCATAAGCGTAGCAGGTTGATGTTTGCTACTTCCTTTGTAAGATACACAAGGAGTATCTCAGTCGAAAGTTGGATTATGGCTATTTTGGCTGAATTCTGCTGTTTTTGTTTAATCTCAAGCCTTCTATTGATCAAGGTCAATGTTATTATATTTTAGGAATATTCGATTGTACGTTTTTTTTTTTTTTTTATGTTTATGTTTTTGCTGAATCCTGCTCACATTGTGAGTGATGAACTGTGTACACTTTGTCATAAAGACCTGTCGGAACCGTCGGAACAGGGCCTTTCTGAGTGGAGCTTGCATGTTCTCCCCATATCTGTGTAGGTTTCCTCCTGGTGCTCCGGTTTCCCCCACCACTAAAAACATGCACAATAGCTATGAATTTAAATGAGAGAGTGAATGGATGGTGTTGATTGGGGGCTGATGCGCCAGTGTGTTTGGCGACTCGCTTCCGTCATCACCGTGTGTGGAATGATTAGAACAATATCTGAACTCTGAACATTGAAAAGTGCTTTGGATGACCTTGGTCTGTAAAATGCGCTATATAAATAAACATTACTTACTACAACTACTTATTTATGTTTTTCACTGTAACCTTGGTCATGTCCTTGATCAGATCTGGGTTAGTTCTGCTTCTAAAGATCTACTTTGGTTGTTGTTATGCATGCCACCTGACATACAGTATTTACAAGAAACACACACACACAGAGGAATCACACAGGAAACACACATACAAAACACACGCCACACACACACTCACACACAAACACATTTCATACACACTTACGCACTCACACACACGCACACACAGAGGAATCACACAAGAAACACACACACAAAACACACGCCACACACACACTCACACACAAAAGACACATCACATACACGAAACACACGCACACAAACACACCAAACACCCACACACGCACACACACACACACACACACACACCCAACACCCAACACCCACACACACACACACCAACACACCACACACACAATAAATCCCTCAGCTAACTCTCAGGATGACATCAAAACTTGAATATTTAAACCATAATCTGCTCATTCGTGTTTCCAGAGACCACGAATCCAGTATAGAGCTTTAACTCTACCGCACAGGGATCACAGGGAGCACAGGGATCACAGGGAGCACAGGGAGCACAGGGATCACAGGGAGCACAGGGAGCACAGGGATCACAGGGAGCACAGGGAGCACAGGGATCACAGGGAGCACAGGGAGCACAGGGAGCACCAGGAGCACAGGGATCACAAGGAGCACAGGGAACACGAGACCGCGCCTGGACGTAGCCATTGAATCACTCCTATGGCAATAAGTTGAATACAGCAGCAGCAACAACAGCACATCCCTCTGTGTGTTTTATGGATTTTCCAGCATGCAGCAGAAGTGCATGAAAGTAAGTCTAATTGATGATTTACAGGAGTTGTTCAGCACACACTCTGTCTGTGGACCACCCCCGGCACAAAGGTTACCGGCACGGCACACACACATGCACACGGACACAATGGCGACACTGTCCTCGCTTCCCTGTTTGAACTGCTCTGGTCATTCTTAAGGAAATTCCTTCACATTTTTTGTCCTCTTTGGCGGTGACTGAGACATGGGAACATCTCATAAAGGCCATTTGAATGTAAATATCATTACAATATGTATATACTACTACTTTTTATAAATGCATATACAGCTAACTATTTATTATTTTATTTTATGTATTGATTTACGTGATAGGGACAAGTGTAAACAATAGACAACATGTATAGCCAAGGCTGATTTGTAACGTTCATACCTACAAGGGCTTTTAACACAATTAAAAACACAAAACACAACACAAATAAGATTGGAACCGCTGATTGCAAAGTATCTGGCCGTTTTAAGTCAACAAACATAAACTAAAAAAGCTTCCACAGAGCACAGACATCTGCCAAGAGGCCTGTGTGAATAACTAAAATTATATTTATTTCTGAAAATATTATCCAAAACCCGGCATGTTCCACTGGGAGGGAGAGATTGGGGAAGATCCAGGACTATGGAGGAACTACATGTCTCTGAGCTGGTCAGGGAACATCTTGGGATTTCCCTGGATAAGCTGTGTGCATGGATGAAGTCTGGGCGTCTCTTCTCAGACCGCTGCCCCCGTGACCCCACAACCGATAAAGTGGGAGAAAATGGATGAATGAGAAAATGAGCGAGTGTTCTAAATGAGTTTTCACCCAAAGTAGGGAAAATTAACAACTCATATGTTCAGCAAATGATAAAAACGCAGAAACATCCATTATCCACAGAAGAGGCTCAAGTATGATGTGCCACAGATTGAGAAACACAGAATCGTGATATTTTTGCTGAACAATAAACCAGCAACATAAAAATAATCATTAAAAAATGTCAATAATCCTTCATCACATGTTGTCCTTTCTTACCTGTCGGAATTGGGATGTGATGTGTGAATATTGCAAAAAATAATGTCTCAATATATTTTTTGAATTATATGCCTACCAAAAACAGCCTATTGCAGAGCTTCATTATAACGATACTAAAACATGTTTCTACATTTCTTGGTTGCCTTGTTGTGTATTTGGGTGTCATAAAAATAGCTTTTCCTTGCCATCTCCCATGAATATAAAAGTGCTGAATTTTAATTGTATAGAGCGAATTGAATTTATTATACGTATTTATATGAATTCAAACACTAAGATTTTTACAGTTATATATTGGCTTGTATGTACCATGCTGTGTGTTCATATTGTGCACGTTTCCATAACAACATTTGTCTAGTTTTTTTTAGATTTCTTATAGGCATTTCCAACGCTGAGATAAATAAGTTACAAGCCCTATGCATTTTAGGTTAACAAAAAAAAATAATAATAACGCAAATTAAGAACAGAACATGTTGAAATGTCAGTGTTCCTAAAGCCTCATTTTATTCATTCATGTTAGAATGTGTTTAGCCTACCTTTAAATCCTTATACCTTATCGCCCAATCCACACACAGAGGGCACTTTTTTGTCAGTAAAAGTTGTAAAAATAGTTGGTATCTCTAACTTTACGCACGAGTACACGGCTGGTTTAGGACTGGATGTAAAAAAGGAAAAAGTTGCCATGTGAGGTCCGCTGTGCTCTGTTACCTGTGCAGACTGCAGCGCGGAGCCAGTGTCTCCTCTTCAACATTTTCCAGCTCGTTTGGTCCTAAATCTTCCACCGCTCCGTCCGTGTCTCTCCGCGCACACAGCGATGCGCCCTTGTGGGTATATTTATATGTCTGTGTTATAAGTAGAGTGGTATTTCCAGAGCTTTCCCTTCAGTCTCTCCAGCAGGCGCGCATAGTGGCTCCTCTCTCCCCTCTCTCCTCTCTCCTCTCTGGGCTGATGTCTGACGGACTTTCCCCGTACGCACACCGCTTCACGCAGGTGTGGCTACGCGCGCACACGCAGACGCAAACGCACTCACAGCCGGGTGGGGTAGGGTAGAGTGGGGTGGGGGGTCGTCTTGGGTCTCTTGTGGTGAAAAGGGAGCGCATGACACCCGCTATGACAAAGCTAATACATAAAACAAGCGGGTGATAGTGGGAAAGTAAAGTGTTTTTGACGCACGTAATAGAGGTCTAATATGAGCCGACAGGGGGCGTGCTGTGACTTACTGATCAGCTCATGAGCAGTGTCAGACTGTGTCGTGTTGTGTGGAGCAATTAGTGACGAAGTATGTGTCCTGTCCTTGTGCTGCTCCAGTACGACCATTGAAGGTATATAGAAGGATTTTTTTTTTACTTCCGGGTGGATCATCAAAACTATTGGACCTCTCAATTGTCAATCATTATGGTGATACTGCTCGTCAAATAAGACCAGAGAGTTTGGTTCAAAAAATGTAGAGGGCGGTTCTTTTTCCTAAAATTTGGGAAAATCCTTTGATCACCGTTTTAGAGCGGCCTGTTTAATGTTAAGACCATTTTCAAGGTGTATGTAGGCCTACTGTATGTACATTTCTCCATTGTGTGATCAACAAAGTTTATCTTGAATTGATTTTACTGTGCTTAGTGCACTTGTAGTATTAATTTTAAGAAATGTTATGTAGATTTTTTATTGGTGGTGGTGGTGGTGGTGGTGGTGGTGGTGGTGGTGTTGGGTGCGGCCAGTGGCACATACCGGTACCACATACCTCACTGTATAATAGTTTATCACCACCGTGAAGGGACTGAATGAATAATGCGTGTGAAGCGTCTTTGAGTGTCCAAAAAGCACTAAATAAAACCAATGCATTATCATTATTATATTATTATTATTTTATATGAGACAGATTATAAAATAAAAGCCCATAAATAAAGAACTAGGTGGATTTTATTACATAAAATCCAACTAGTTTGTGCAAAAAAAGAAAAGGTTAAGAGTGATCCAACTTGATAAAAAAAACAAAAACACCATAATAAATAAAATAGGGTGCTCAGTGCCAACAGCAACTGTGGCAATACATCACAACGCCATCTAGTGTTGTTGTGAAGAATGTATGCATTTTTAAAATGTATGATTTGGAGTGGGAATTTGCTTTCCCACTTTTTGTCAACAATTATTCAGTATAATAAAGACGTTTTTTTTCTTGGTTTGTCAAAATTGCTGGAGTGGAATAAGATAATTTAAATCAGCCAATATCGTAAAACAGATTCAGAATAGATGTAAATGATTCTTATAACATAAGTCACAGAAAAGGATAATGCTTTTCCTTTTTCAAAAGTAGAGAAGAATAGAATGGAGTAAGGCATGGTAAGAATCACTCTGAATGATTCCATATGAAACACACTAATGAATATCCATGCATTGGAAAAACCCTTAAATGATAAATGAACAATAATGAACAATTGATCCCTTATGCTTTCCTCCACATTAGTCAGCGGACTTAGAATCCTTTTAATCAAGTTGTGGTCTATCAGCTGTCTCGTTCTCTCTGAGCAGGTTCAAACAGGTTAGCCACAAGTCTGTCCCAGAGGAGCAGCGGTGCTATCGGTCTCTGTTCTCTGACCGCTGCAGTCACAGGCCTATTGAGCAGCTGATATAATATTAATATGGAGCAAATCAATTCCCTCCAGGTCGCCGCAGGAGGGGTGCGGTTGCCATGGACACCCCAGTCAATCATCACTGCAAGCTTCAGCAAAACTTTAGACATTTAGATTTGAAAACATTATATAACGTTGATATTATCTACATCTTTCTGAGAGGAGTTTGCATGTTCTCCCATGCCTGCTCTGGTTTCCTCTGGGTGCTCCGGTTTCCCCTAGCCTGGCCTTAGCAACCGTCGCCCCGACAGTAGCTCCGGTCATTTATCATTTCCGACATGTATGTCTGTATCTGAACTTAGTGGCTGTGGTTACCTCGTTTGTATTACACAGTCTATGGTTGAATCCCCTTCGACCCTTTAGCAAGCGGGGGAGGCGGATAGTATAGGTGTCGGTGACGTCAAGAGTTTGCGCCAAATTTGCTGGTTGTAGTTTGGCAATGGCGGCGTACAGTATGCGATTGTAAAGTAATCCGTTCTGTTCGGCTCCAAATATGAAGAAATTGAAGCCGGAGCAAGAGGAATGTTTAGCCAGTTTCAACGCTGGCAAAGATGATTATTATTATTTATATTCTTTTTATTTGATCGGGACAACACACATTAATGAACAATCATATACATGTTGTACACAAACTGTAAATGTGCCATATTGTAGCAAAACATTATTAACAAATATAATAAAACACATTATTATTATCATTCATGCTGGGCCTAGTCTGGGTAGGTTTCCTCCAGGTTTCCTCCATTTCCTGATCCTGAAAGTTTTAACTCAATGTAAAGTCATTAATAATAATTACACATTTCCATCAACAATTACACCCAACAATGCGTCACTGTCGTTACACTTCGCTAACATAAGATAATTGTCTCATTACACGTAAAGCAGAGATATAACACTTAGCCGTAGTTTCTCCTGCTCTTCCTGATCGTTATCAACACCCCCATCACATCTCCATCCAAAATTAGATCAAGTGCTTCATTCACAGTTAGTCACTACTCGGAGCCGGTGCGAGCTCCATGAGACATGAGCACACAAGTATTTTTAGACCAAAGCTGGAGGAACTGATGTTAGTGATATCGCTGAAGAAAAAAACACAAAGTGAAGAACAGCACACACTGTACTTTTTATTACTGAGTGATTCAAAGTTCATCGTTCAAAATCAACATCTGATTAAAAAAAAGCCTTTTGGTGTTTCTGTCCAACATTACTTTGGCTTGTTATTCTTCTACAGGAGTACACTTTCTCACCCCCAATAATCTGTAAAAACCTGTGTCCTAAATGATATGATTAGTTTAATATTGTTAAATCCTGTGGGGATATTTATTTCTTAGCGACGTGGCACAAAGCTCATCGGTTCGATTCCACCTCCATACAAACTGTGTGGAGTTTGCATGTTCTCCCTGTGGGACTTTCCTGGTGAAATAAAAGGTTAAAAGTGGTCTTGCTTTGAACTCTAAAATACAGTTTTGTATTAGACGGTTTGTTATTACATTTAAGCAATAACACTTCTACACTGCAAAAAGTGATGAAAAATAAGTCACAAATTGCTGAATATGGAAAAAAGTATCTTATTCTGAGCACATTATGTCTGCCTCTGGGACAATGGGCAGACAACTAGATTTGCCGATGGAACAATGAACAAAATGATCTTATTTTAAAAAGCTACAAGAAATGTCTCCAATGGAAAATATTGTTTTAACACAGTCAGAATGTGCTCAAATTAAGATAAAAACCACCCGATTCAAGCAACTATTACCTCATATTTTATCATTTTTTGCTGGATACAGAAACGTTATGTTCCTTCAGAAGCAGCTTTTGTCTCAGTGCTGATGTGGGATGGAACGTCTGGTGTGGTTGGTGTCGGAGACTCCCCAGTGACACTCTTCTTGTCATGGGTTCATTTTTACAGTAGCAGGATTAACATATTAAATAAAGTTTTAACCCCGAACCTAACGCTTTTGTGTTGTTGTTTAGTTATCTGCTGTTAGTGTCTGTGCAGAAAGGAAACATAACAAAATACATATCATTTCTTTGTAATGACTAAATAATCCTAATGTGTGGTACCTGTGAACCTGGTTGTGGTTTACATACCACCGAGTTATTATACCAAAAAAACATGTTTTCTGATCAGACGAAGACAGAATGTTTATAAGAAAAAGACAGCTGTCGTTGTTTGATTGATCTGAACTATTTTACTTTCATAAGAATGTTGGGGAAAAAACAATAGTTAAGAAACAAAGTTAGATACCTATAGCTTTAAAAGAAAAACGTTGTGAAAAAAGACAAACTTAGGAGATCAATGATTGACTTTCGTATTTTGTACTTTTGTTTTCCAGAAAGTGCAGACTCCACAAATACTGTACATAAAAGCTGAGATGACATAAACCAAATGTGATTTTCCTCTGCGTCTCCATGTTCCTCGCTCCATCTGCATTTCTCACAAGGAGAGACAGAAGAGTCCTGGTGTGGACTCTAACTCTGCAAACTGCTGATATGAATGGTTAAAAGTATTTCAAAGGTTTTTAGTTTCTCTTTTAGCAAACTGATTTAACATCCATCCATCCATCCATCCATGCTCTTCCCCTATGTCCATTTCTGGGTTGGGGGGGTGGCAATTAGCTACCACCCAATTCACAGAGCACCAGCTACCGGCTACAGGGTTACCGTCGGCAGCGGTAAAGAGGTCCGCACTTTCAAAGCGGTTGGTTCCATTATGCTGTTACTTACGGTAAACGTGGAACGGGAAGCCGTGACGAGAAGAGAGCAAAATGCAATAAAAAAAAAAAAACATTAAAAAAGAACAAAAATAGTTTTGCGAAGACTTTCACTGCACACTTGTTCACTGTGATGCCCTCTACCACTGTGTAAAATATCATTCACTTTTACTGTAGATATTCAGAGATAATTGGGGTCAAAGTGTGCACAATTAGTCCTAAAAGCACTTTTTTAAATTCATTTTTAAAACATCTAAAAAAGTTCCCTGACTAATTTCACTGCACACTTGTTCACTGTGATGCCCTCTAGCACTGTGTAAAATATCATTCACTTTTACTGTAGAAATTCAGAGAAAATTGGGGTCAAAGTGTGCACAATTGGTCCCAAAAGCACTTTTTAAAATTCATTAAAAAAAAAAAAACGAAAAAAGTTCCCTGACTAAGTTTACTGCACACTTGTTCACTGTGATGTCCAAAATGGCACACTTTGACCCCAATTATTTCTGAATTTCCACAGTATTCAACTAGTACAAGTGTGCAGTGAAAGTAGTGAGGGAACTTTTTTAAATAAAATAAAAAATAATTTTAAAAAGTGCTTTTTGGACCAATTGTGCACACTTTGACCCCTATTATCTCTGAATTTCTACAGTAAAAGTGAATGATTTTTTCATACAGTGGTAGAGGGCATCTTAGTGAACAAGTGTGCAGTGAAAGTAGTCGCAAAACTCTTTTTGTTCTTTTTTAATAATTTTATTAATAAAATTGCATTTTGCTTGCTTCTCGTCGAGGCTTCCCGTTCCACGTTTACCGTATAACAGCATAATGGAGCCAACCACTTTCAAAGTGCGGACCTCTTTACCGCTGCCGACGAAGTGCGGGGCCACTTTACCGCGGTTCATTCACTGGCCTGTGTGCTGGCGTGGTCGTGGCGTCTTCTCCTGGTGCGTTTTGGCAAACCCGGACATAAGGAGAGCTGCCACCCAGTGCTCATAGCACCAGTTCCTCGCTGATCCTCTGCAGGTGGTGGGTCCATAGGAAGATGGCTGCTACATCAGTGGTGCCACAGCCTTGGTGTTTCAGCGCAAGCTTCAGGCAATGTGGGGTTAAGTGTCTTGCCCAAGAACACATCAACAGCAGACATTATAGGGAGCAGTTGGAGTAGCCTAAATAATCACAGTACATTAAAAAGTGAAGATAAAATCCCTCAGTTTTTGGAGCTAAACAGAAATGTTTTAACCTGGATTTGAACATTGTCAGAGAAGAAGCCTGTCTCACATTTTCAGGAAGACTGTTCCAGATTTTAGCCGTATAATTCTGAAATTAGACATGATTCTAATGGTCTTGTTTTGTTTGGTGGTCAAAGCTTGTAAGTGGGATTTTTAAAAGAGACTATAGTGTTGGTGATAACTTTTTTATCGTCATGGAGATTGATCATTTTCAATTCCACAGAAAATAGTACCACATTTTGCTTCTTCTTTTGTTTCTCCCTGACATACTATTTCCACTTGCATCTGTTCAGAGTGCACTTAGAAACTACCTGAAAATAACCCATTTTCTTAGTCCTCAAACCTTTGGGACCAAAAAGCGATCGAGGAACCTAATCCTAGATCCATACAAACCAGTCGCTCATTTCCATTTAAATTACATTACATTTCCCACATTGACACGAGGATAGCAGCCACTACCAATATAGGAAGGAGAGCAAGTTTTCCTGCCAAAATCAAGGTGCTACAATCAATAATAATTTACTTTTACAATACGTATGATAACGATGTGGTAATGCTTGTTTGTGACTTTAAAGTTGTAGCTGGGTTCATGTTTTTCTGTATGGGGAAATAAATATGTTATTTCATTACTCTGTCATCTAATTACTATCTATTCTATTCCGTTGCAAAGATTCCCAAAAACCCCTCACCATGCACATGTTCTTCAGTTCATCCATCCAAGGTGTTGGGGCCATCCCTCCTCTCATTACTTCAGCAGTTCCTCTCTATGTGGAGGAGCAGTGGCTCTCAAAGTCAGGACTAAACATGGGGAGGCTGCATTTCAGATTCATGCTGCTAAAATCTGGAACAATCTTCCTAAAAGTGTAAGACAGGCCTCCTCTCTGACAATGTTTAAAACCAGGTTAAAACAGTTCTGTTTAGCTGTGCATACAACTGAGGGATTGTATATTTGTATCTTTCTTTTGATGTTTTGATGTACTTTGATTATTTATGATTTTGATCCTATCTCGATGTGTCCAGCACGTCAAGATTTGCCATTATGAATTGTGCTATACAAATAAACTTCCCTTGCCTTATGTGAAATTTCATAACACTTTTAAGCAACTTTTGTTAAAGTTAAACTCATCATTCTATCAATGTGCAGAAGCCAGTACTTTTCCATTTGATGTTTAGTCTATCTGAAGGCCAAGCTACAAGCACACTGTGGCAGCTGCTGATTGGAGGACTTCATTCTCCCTTGCTATATTATCACTAACAGTTTGTAACATCCCTTGTTTGTGTGCTTTGTTTGTGCTGTCTCTACCATTGACAATAAAACATGTCTTCTTTCTGAATGAAAGACACGATCCCAGACTTTGTCATCTTCTTCACTTACTACAAACTCCTCCTTATTGAGCTATTAGAACCACTTGTATCCCTGGTGCTTTACTTTTTGTCCTTTTGATCAAAGAGTTACCATGAGTTAGAATACAGATTTGTATTTTGTATTTGTATTTGTTAGTGTTAGTGTTAAGTGTCTTGCCCAAGGACATAACGACAGCAGACATCAGTGGGAGCAGGTGACATGGGGCGTGGGGGGATCAAACCCACAACCCTGAGGTTCAAAGACCAATGGTAAAACAACTGAGCCGCTGTCGCCCCCTGAATCTTAACTGAGGAACAGCAATTGAAATGTGGTTTTCAAATGGATCATAATTAGATCGACACAAACCAATCTCAAAACAAAACATGTGGCGGAACATGGGAGCTTTTATTCATTCATGCAATGTGATCGAATACACAAACATTCCCCTCCCCTAAATATTTACACTGCTTAAATTTAAAGTCAACTTCCACTTTGACATTTACACAGAATTACAACACGGCGACACAGATGTAAATTTCACAGAATCCCATCGGAGACCAGAGAAATATGGGTTTGTCCTTTACAGTGACACCAAATACTGCTCTGCTCCGTGGGTCAGTTATGAAGAACAGAGCAGAGATGTGTGAATACATTGAAATGAATAGAAAAAAACAGCTCATACTGAAGACATGAGTGCAGGGATTAGCAAATTAAGCCAGCAGATCGAAAACACACTGGATAATGCCAAGGCAAGACAAGTTTATTTGTATAGCACAATTCATACACAAGGCAACTCAAAGTGCTGAACAAGATAGAAACAGTCACACAAGGCATTAAAATCATAAATAATCACAGTGCATTAAAGATGAGATAAGACAGACTTTATTGATCTCACACTGGAGAAATGTACATGTCACATTTGGCACGGATGGAATCACTCAGATCGTGCAAAAGGCAGAAGTGTGCTACATGTTAAAGGTTAAAAATATAGTCTGCGCAGGATATAATTACATTTGGCAACTTTTCATGCATGTTCAGGGGGTCAAAATAAGGTTCAAAGTGAAGAATATTTTTTCTAAGTCTCCGAGCAAAAACAATATAGGTTTCAATGGCACCTGATTTTAGCGTTTGAGTTTATGCACGCGGCAGAGGCAAAAACCCGGGACTGGGAGGAGTTCGGAGAGTCCATGGAGCATGACTATCGGTCGGCCTCGAAGAGATTCTGGCAAACCATCCGGCGCCTCAGGAGGGGGAAGCAGTTCTTTGCCAGCACCATGTACGGTGCGGGTGGAGAGCTGCTGACATCGACTGGGGATATTGTCGGGCGGTGGAAGGAATACTTTGAGGTTCTCCTCAATCCCCCCGTCACGTCCTCTGTTACAGAGGCAGAGGCTGAGGATGTTGGGGCGGGTACATCCATCTCCCTGGCTGAGGTCACCAAGGTGGTTGGTAGCCTCCATGGTGGCAAGGCTCCGGGTGTGGATGAGATCCGCCCTGATTATCTAAAGTCTCTGGATGTTGTAGGACTGTCTTGGCTGACACGTCTCTGCAACATCACGTGGCGATCGGGGGCGGTGCCAATGGAGTGGCAGACTGGGGTGGTGGTCCCTCTCTACAAGAAGGGGGACCGGAGGGTATGTTCCAATTATCGTGGGATCACACTCCTCAGCCTCCCCGGTAAGGTCTACTCCAAGGTACTGGAGAGGAGGCTACGGCCGATGGTCGAATCTCGGATCCAGGAGGAGCAGTGTGGTTTTCGTCCCGGTCGCGGAACACTGGACCAGCTCTATACTCTCCATCGGATACTCGAGGGTTCATGGGAGTTCGCCCAACCTGTCCACATGTGCTTTGTGGATTTGGAGAAGGCGTTCGACTGTGTTCCCCGGGGTGTCCTTTGGGGGGTTCTCCGGGAGTACGGGGTCGGGGGTCCTCTGCTGAGGGCCATCCGATCCCTGTATGACCAGAGCCAGAGCTGTGTTCGCATTGCCGGCAGTAAGTCAGACCTGTTCCCGGTGAATGTTGGCCTCCGACAGGGCTGCCCTTTGTCACCGGTTCTGTTCACTGTATTTATGGACAGAATATCTAGGCGCAGCCAGGGGTCGGAGGGGGTCCGGTTCGGAGACCACAGGATTTCATCTCTGCTGTTTGCGGACGATGTTGTCCTGTTGGCTCCAACGAACCAGGACCTGCAGCATGCACTGGGACGGTTTGCAGCCGAGTGTGAAGCGGCTGGGATGAGAATCAGCACCTCCAAATCCGAGGCCATGGTGCTCGACCGGAAAAAGGTGCCTTGCCCTCTGCAGGTGGGTGGAGAGGTCCTTCCTCAAGTGGAGGAGTTCAAGTATCTCGGGGTCTTGTTCACGAGTGAGGGAAGAATGGAGCGTGAGATTGACAGGCGGATCGGTGCAGCGTGCGCAGTTATGCGGTCGCTGTATCGGACCGTTGTGGTGAAGAGGGAGCTGAGCCGAAAGGCAAAGCTCTCGATTTACCGGTCAATCTTCGTTCCCTCCCTCATCTATGGTCATGAGCTTTGGGTAATGACCGAAAGAACGAGATCGCGGATACAAGCGGTCGAAATGAGCTTCCTCCGCAGAGTGGCTGGGCGCTCCCTTAGAGATAGGGTGAGGAGCTCAGTCACACGGGAGGAGCTCGGAGTAGAACCGCTGCTTCTCCACGTCGAGAGGAACCAGTTGAGGTGGCTCGGGCATCTGTTCCGGATGCCTCCTGGACGCCTCCCTGGGGAGGTGTTCCGGGCACGTCCCACCGGGAGGAGGCCCCGCGGAAGACCCAGGACACGCTGGAGGGACTATATCTCTCAGCTGGCCTGGGAACGCCTTGGGGTCCCCCCGGACGAGCTGGAGGAAGTGTGTGTGGATAGGGAAGTCTGGGCGTCTCTGCTTAGACTGCTGCCCCCGCGACCCGGCAACGGATAAAGCGGAAGAAAATGGATGGATGGATGGAGTTTATGCACGCAACCGGGCACTGACGCGTCACGCACCGCCACCACTTGCACCATTGTGAAAGCAACAGGCCCTTACCCCAGTCGGGCTCGGGCCTAAAAACAGGTAATTACAGAATAACCAAACATAAACACAGTAGCATATTTCAGTTCAAGAGCCACATATTTAAAGGTTTAGGTTTAATTAGGTTTTAATTAACTTCAGTGGAGAAAAAAGAGTTAACATGCACTGCAAAAATAGACATAAAGTGTGTTCATATTTTATAATATCTGAAATGTAATCAATCTCAATGCGACAATACTGGTAACTTCTATGATTTATTCGAACTACTTCCTATATTTTGCAAAGGTTTATACAAACACAAAGTGGTGAAAGCCCAAAAATGACTCCATGGCTTTGGAAGGTTTAGATGCACTTGACACATTATATTTTCCTCCTGCTGACTCAATTTTCATTATGTTGAAACCTCAAGAGGAGCTGTTACACATGTCAAGAAAGACATTTTTTTCCCCCTCAAAATGTGTGTCTCGTCGGTCTCTTTCTCGGAGTGGTCTCTGTCTTGCAGGCTCTGTGATCATCTCATCATGTTGTAGTTCCTTCAAGTCCTTCATCCTCTGGAAGGTATTTTTGGACTCTGGATAAAACAAAACATTTGTCCCTAGTCCTATTTCACCCGATTGTTGTATGGAGCACGAAGAGAACATGCATACATTAGCTCCAAAACTGATTTGAACTGCTGTACATGTTTCTCTAAATCATCTGCTAAAATGTGTCTAAATGTTTTCAGGTTGTAACTTTTCAACCATATATCTAAATACCTGAATTTCTCCTACGGGGATCAATAAAGTATCTATCTATCTATCTATCTATCTATCTATCTATCTATCTATCTACAGTATCTATCTATCTATCTATCTATCTATCTATCTATGATTGAACATACGAGCCCATTATCTGACAAACTATAACCAGATTTCGTCTCTCCAGAGGATGGGCCTGTTTTGGATTCTTTGCAGCCGCTGCAGAGCTCCATGCAGCTCTGTTATAAGTCCTGTCCCCTCACAGCAGGGTGCGTGGGCCTGTGAGAAACATTATCGGCCCGGGCTGAGTCCCCAGGACGAAATGTGTCCTGGTCAGTGTTAGAGCCTGGACCTCTAATATCTTGTCCTATGCTTGAAAGCCACAGCAGAACCACCACCTCCTCCTCCTCCTCTTCAGACTCGTGCTGGTCTCCTGGTGCTCCTGCTCCTTTTCTCTCAGAACACCCTGCAGCCCCTCCTCCTTTTCTCTGAGAGCCTCCTGCAGCTCCTTCTCCTTTTCTTTGAGAGCCTCCTGCAGCTCCTCTTCCTTTTCTTTGAGAGCCTCCTGCAGCCCCTCCTCCTTTTCTTTGAGAGCCTCCTGCAGCTCCTCCTCCTTTTCTTTGAGAGCCTCCTGCAGCTCCTCCTCCTTTTCTTTGAGAGCCTCCTGCAGCTCCTTCTCCTTTTCTTTGAGAGCCTCCTGCAGCTCCTCCTCCTTTTCTTTGAGAGCCTCCTGCAGCTCCTCCTCCTTTTCTTTGAGAGCCTCCTGCAGCTCCTCCTCCTTTTCTTTGAGAGCCTCCTGCAGCTCCTCCTCCTTTTCTTTGAGAGCCTCCTGCAGCTCCTCCTCCTTTTCTTTGAGAGCCTCCTGCAGCTCCTCTTCCTTTTCTTTGAGAGCCTCCTGCAGCTCCTCCTCCTTTTCTCTGAGAGCCTCCTGCAGCTCCTCCTCCTTTTCTTTGAGAGCCTCCTGCAGCTCCTTCTCCTTTTCTTTGAGAGCCTCCTGCAGCTCCTCCTCCTTTTCTTTGAGAGCCTCCTGCAGCTCCTCCTCCTTTTCTTTGAGAGCCTCCTGCAGCTCCTCCTCCTTTTCTTTGAGAGCCTCCTGCAGCTCCTTCTCCTTTGCTCTGAGAGCCTCCTGCAGCTCCTCCTCCTTTTCTTTGAGAGCCGCCTGCAGGTCCTGCTCCTTTTCTCTCAGAACCTCCTGCAGCTCCAGTCTCTGCTTCTCCAGGTCTGAGTTGTTCTCGTCTGAGGCACTCAGAGCCTCCGCCAGCTCCTGGATCTTCTTCTGCAGGAGGTTCCTCTGCTGCTGCTCTGAACTCATCTCCTCTGAGTGCTTGAGTTTCAGTGCCTCCATTTCCTTGTTTGTGTTGTCCACTGTTGTTGCAAGTTGGTCTTTTTGAGCCACAGCAGAATTCATGACAGTTTGGCATCTCTGGATCGCAGTCCTGAAAACACTTGTCGTTGTTTCATGTTTCTGGTTCAAAGCCGGACTTGTCTCCTCCTGCTCCTGTATTTTGTGGCTCAGCTCATTCACTTTTGAGCGGAGGGTCTCAGTGAATCTCTTCTCTTGGCTTAGATTTAACCTCAGGGCTTTGACAGTAGACTGTAGGCCGACCTTCTCTTGCTGCAGAGTTTGATAATCACTCAGAGCTCGCTGTCTCTCTCTCTAGTGCTTCCATCTTATTCTTCTCAGTGTCCAAAGCCTGTTTCAAAGACGAGATTTCACGTTCCAGCTCATTCTTCTGTTTGTCCAGCTGGCCGACTGAGATCTCCAGAAGTGCTGCGGTTGCCGCCTCACTGGTCTCTAGGAGGACTTCAGGTTTTCATTCTCCTCCTGCTCCTTTTTTAGATCCTGTTTCAAACTAGAGATCTGGTCCAGGAGAGGCTGGACATTTACATGGTTCTGCTTATTTATACTTTCCACTTTCCCGCGGAGGAAAGAGTTGGCAGTAGCCTGGTGTTGTCGTGCTACACATATTAGCATTTCTGTTTGTTTGTGTTTATCACATTAACGTGTCTGCACTTCTATGGCTGCACCATGGACTATAATCGACGTCTCGTGTATCCAATCAGGAGACCCGGTGCCTGCTCGCAGGCCCTGAAGTAAGAGACTTGACACTGATTGGTTAATACCCCAGGTTTGTTTCCATTGCCTTTAAGCTAGCGCCAGCCAGCAATGTAGACTCTGCAGGCCTAGTGGCAGAATTTAGGCCATAGCAACACATGACGCCGAGTAATGATTGGATAAAAACTCTGTTATGCCGCGTTCAGACTGGATCATGCGTTGCTTCGGCTTTCAATGCAAAGTCAACGGTGATGCGCGTTCGAGCGTCAAAACGCACGAACGTCTCGGAATGCACGCACGGACCGCGCAAGGAAGTCGAAGGGGAGGAACGCAATAGATGGATTTTGCTCAACCTTTCCTCGGGACGTTCATGCAGCAACCAATCAGAGAGCCGCAAAGTGGTCACGGGGACATTTGCGGACTGAGCGAGCAGACTGAAAATACTCGTAAACAGCCAAAACAGGAGCTACATCAGGTCAAAACCAGGGTTGACAATGAGGGATATAGTGCTTGTGAATATATGCGTTTTCATGCTCCCGTGACTTTACGCAACTGCTTTGAGTGTGTTCGCCGATGCGGAAATACCGTTTCATAATAAAATAAACGTATTGCGCACCTTCGTGAACACATACTACTGTTATATAAAGTTTGTGGAAGGTCTCTGAACACAGACACCCTGCAAAGCTGCATTATTGGAGAAGCTCTGTACACGAGAAGCCGCTAGCTAAACTCTGTTAGCATCAGAGCCCGCCAGCTACTTCCGCCGCGCGCCAGGACCTCTGGTCTGAAGACCCCTGCGTCTGAAAACTAGAGAACGTGCGTTTCAACGTTGCCGGTCTGAAAGCACCATTAGATGCCAGACCTCCCAAATGTCGACCTGAAGTTGGAAGCTGCGCAACCAACGTTTTTTTTGTAGAAAAATAAACATAGAAAAAAATAATAATAAGTAGAAAAAGTATCTGCTATATATATTATAAAAATATATATATATTTATACATATGTAATTGTGTCTAGGCCAGCAGTGAAGGCCTTGCAAGCATTGAGGGTCCGCCACTGCTCTCACCTTATCCACACCTTGGTTCCTGTATTGAGTTTTAAGGATCAGACTTGGACAAAAGCTGGTGATGAATGGCCAAAGTTGTGGGATAACATTAATGAGGGCACAGTCTGCACAACACAGTCGAATTGCTTAAGGAGCCTGATTAAATGGACTTCTTGATGCCCAAATCAATTTCACACTTTCCTTGCTTCTTTTTCTCTCCACTTATTTAGTCAGAAATACTTTACGTTTCTGAGGATATTTGAACGCTTGGTTGCAACATTGTTTAACCTAAAGGGAATCCACATTTTCTGAGCTAAAATAGATCACTACAGAGTTGCATATAGCGTTCTCTGACCTTGGACAGCACCTTGCCTCCAGTGATGTATCGCTGTTGTGGCTCATTGACCAGGGGCAGAAGTTTATGGAGAATTTTGAGAAGCAGGCACGAACATGATTGATGATCATTTCAGGAGATAAGTTCATTTTTGACTGTGCTATTTTTTTTTGTAATGATTATATCCAATTGCTTCATATGACATACAGAAAGAAATGTGTAATGGCCATAGTGATGGTTTCATTTAGAATATGGTGTCATTGTTGCACAGTAATCCCCAACAGGGGGTCAGCGGACCACTAGGCCGTATCAGAGGGTATTACATGGGGTACTACAATAATATTTATTAACTTATTACTATGTTGTGTTATACATCATCTTCATTAATAATTATAAGCATTGAACCCAAACACTGGTTTATGTACTAATTGTTCAGTACTGTACAGTCTCTCCAAACACAAAATCAGAATCAATATATTGCCATTTGCAGAATACACTACATTGGAATACCAACAGGAGACACTGGGGGCACCACAAAGCACACACACACAAAAAATGAATACTTGACTCATGATTAATATTTCTTCCAAGACATACATCTCCATGAGTATGGTTTGGCATTTCTATTTTCTACGGAACCATCTCCATCAATTAACAACATTTAATTAAAGCGCTTTTCATACAGAAAGTTTAACACAAAGTGAATTCCCACAGGCCCAGTGGCCTGTTAACCCACCGACTCAACAGACCCACAGACAAAAGCACATACAGTATATATTTCACTTCACGCACGCGCACACACACACACACACTGAACAAACTTGAGGCTGAGTGCAGGTGTAGCTGACGATGGGCCGTCCGAGAAGCCGTTCGCCTGCAGCCATGGGATACGAGGATCCAAACCTCTACCAGGTCTAAGAGCCAGATCTACTGTAGCTCCAGACACAGCCGACCACTACCTCCCCGCGCAGACAGTGCCTCTAAGGAGAAAAATTTTAAGATACATTATTCATTTATATTTAACGTTTCTTATGGGAAGACCATGTTGTAGATTAACCACACAGAGACAGAATTTAGGCGCACCAGAGCTCCTGGAAGTTTATTCAGTAGGTTTTTTAGGTTTTAGTTTTTTCAGACGGAACAAAGGACATGGTTAATATAGTCATTATTACGTCACAGATACGTCACACACAGAAAGACATACGTGTCGCATCAAGAGACAATCAGAACATATCAGAGTCATAACATGGATACACAATGGAGTCCTTGTAGAGTCTTGCGTTTGTCCACCTGCGCAGGCCATAGTTATCTATCCACCATAACCACCACCTTGTCCTTGAGATGTTGTTGCTTTCCCAAAATATGCACAATATAACACATTTCTGCTTAGTCTCCACAGATCTGACCTTTTACTTGGCGTTGTCTGGCGTTGTATGTAAAAAGCCATATTATGCTTGAAAACACTATATCTCCAACAGCACAAGCATTGTGTATACCTCAGGCCATCCATACAGAGAAAAATATTTTAATTTTATTGATTTTGAGGATGTGTTGGTATTTATTTATTATCCACCAGAGTGCACCTTTACATATGAGAGGTAATATGTTTGGACAAAAACAAACAAAAAGCACTATTCATCTTTTCCTTTTTATTTGTTTTATTCCATACTCAATAAACTACTGTGGCACATATATAACACAAAGATTGTAAACTATATATACACATGCCCTCAGTTCTGTGGAGTCTGTGTAGTGGACGATGGCTACAAACCACAGCAGCAGCAGCAGTGGAGCAGAGGGAAGTTGTAGTGATGCATGATAGGAAAGAGACACCCAATTTATGCCATGGTATTCAGAGAGATATAGGAACCGGGATAGATGAGATCGCAGTGAATCAGTAATAAGTTATTATTTCAGAACAATGCACAGAACATAACTGACAATGGTGTTTATACAGTATATGGATAAAAACACATTATATAAAACTGTTAAAGCAGGTGTGTGTGTGTGTGTGTGTGTGTGTGTGTGTGTGTGTGTGTGCGTGTGCACCTGTTTGTGTGTGTGCGAGCGTGCGTACGTGTGTGTGCGTGCACGCGCCTGACGCTGCATTGGAGCGAGGACACACGGCTGTGCGCATGCTTCACGCGCGAGGTGGTGCTGAATTCATGTCAAAGATTATAACCGGGAAAACTTTCCTGAGATCTGGGAAGAAGGTGTGAGGGCAGGACCTTGCGTTTCAAGTTCGCATAGGGCCTCGCACCCCCCTTGCGACGGGCCTGGTTGTAGGTCCTAATATCTCACTCAGACCTGATGTGTGTATGTTGTAGGTCCTAATATCTCACTCAGACCTGATATGTGTGTTATAGGTCCTGATATCTCACTCAGACCTGATGTGTGTGTTGTGGGTCTTAATATCTCACTCAGACCTGATGTGTGTGTTGTAGGTCCTAACATCTCGCTCAGAACTGATTTGTGTGTTAAAAGTCTTAATATGTCACTCAGACCTGGTGTGTGTGTTTTAGGTCCTTATATCTCACTCAGACCTGTCAAGGTCCTCATATGTGGCAATAAAATCCTGCGGGAAAAAAGTTTCTTGTAACCAAAATATCAACAGCTAGCTGTGTTACTGAGCACACCCTGCTCCCCCCTATGTGATCCTCAGGTCTCTGGGACCTTCAGAAAGGCACGTCCTGATATGTCACAGTGCAGAACTAGGTCCTCATTTGTCACGCAAACGCGTATGTGTGTGTGAGTGTGTGGGTGTGTGCGTGTGTGGGTGTGTGTGTGTGCGCGCCTGTCATATTAGAAATGCGAGTTAGTAAGCGCCTTTGCGTACTTCACATAGACCAGTCCTTCTCAAACAGGCGCTCCAGTGTGTGTGCGTGTGCTTGCGTGTGTGTGTGTGTGTGCGT